TAACATGGTGTTACTTTGGTATTTATTCTTTGACTCTTTAGGTTAAATGTAATGATCACCTGTAGAGAAACAAATATAGTACATTTTACTATGGATTAAACCACTGTAGAAGTAAAACTGTGTACTTTATGTGTTTGATTCATTCCACGTGTGTACATGTGCTGTACTTTTTCACCACGTTGTTTTTTTGTATTACACGTCACGTAGTGTCCTCTCCAAGAAGAAGAAACAAACCGGTGCCTCATGTTCTGTACAAGTGCATTTCTGTGGTTCTAAGACATGATTGTTTTAATAATGTCTCTGTTGGGAGGTTAACTAATAAAAAAAGTCCAAAGAAATATTGTTTACTATGTATTTTCTTTTGTACCGTACAACCTCTGCAGTCAGCTCACATATTATGGCTCAAATAGCAAATGAACATGAAGAAGTCATGCAGGGTCATTATCTATATTATAGTCAAAGGGTTGAAAGAAGTACATTTACTTTGTTACTGTTACTGTACTGTATTTTTGACCTAAAAATGTACCTCTAAATTTAATACTTTCAAGTACATTTAAAAGCAGGTGCCTACTGTTTCACAAATAGTTAAGTTAATGTTGTAATTTCATTTTTTTTATTTGTACTTTTACCTAAGTATTATGTTTGAGTACTTCCTTCTGAGTGTAAATTACTTACTAGATTCAGAACAGCATTAATGTGCACAATGTATATTATTTTGTAAAGTGCTCTCTCTAGTGGCCAATCAGAAGATTACCACCAGGGCAACATGAGCGTCTGATACCTGCTGCTGTAAAACTCACTGAAGTTCACAAACTACTTCATATTGACATTAATAATATTATAATAATGATGATAAAGATCCTGCCAGTTAGATAGTCCACATGGAATAATTCACACATTGTGTTTTTCATTCATATTATATTATCTCAGTGATTTATTGACTATTAGTTCACGTTTGTCTAACATCTCTATTTTATTTCATTTTGTGTGTCTTATTTTCTATCAATAATTTACTTTGAGAGTTTATTGCATCTGATGAAGGAGGCCAGTCCATTCAGCATGACACATTATCACTGAGTTGTCTGCGGTCCACATTATCTAATCAGGATGAACTCCTCTCTCCAGGTCTGTAAAACTTTAGGACACTTTGAAAAGTCAATCGTTTATTATTGATTCCACACTGCTCTTGTACAAGTCAATGAATGCCAATGAGTGACATTTTTAGATTTGTTTTTTAAATTCTTTTAGATTCAAATACCTTCATGGAGGCATCTGATCCGTCCCAAATTCATGCTGCAGCAGGAGAACGACCCCAGACTGATTCATAAAGACATTACCTGCAGAGACAAGAAGAACAAGGAGTCCTGTGACCGATGCTATGACCCCCACAGTGCTCTGACCTGAGCATTAGAGTCTGGGATCACATGAAGAGACAGAGGACACAGAGACCACAGAGACTGTTTTGACTGCACAGCATTACACCCTACTTAGAGTACACCACTATTTTCTCATATCAATGGTTTCCTTCTGCAGGTGGAGTCAAAACTTGCATCTTTGTCTTTTAGATATCTGTCTGTGCAGGAAGTAAAATGAAACTGCAGTAGTTCACTTTGTATATTTAAATGTCACTTTAGTTTAGGAGGGTATTGCCTGGTGTCATTGTCTTCCATGTTATAAACAAATGAATGTTGATGGGTGCCATCTAATTATTTGATAGCTGATATTGTCTGAACACTCATATGTGGTCATAAAATCAACAGTAATGAAATCCTATGAACCTATGATGTGAACTTCAACCACTGGAGGTCAACATAAACATGCTCTGCTTGCCTGTTAAGCTTTAAATAGTCTGTTCACCCAAAACCACGCAGACCCTCCTCTCACTTACCTGTGGTGGTTTGTGTCCTTCCAGATAAAACTGGTTTTATATCTGAGATTTCTTTTTTTTTAAGTAAACACAATTTAGTGTCCACAGCACTTTAAACTTTACATTTAAAAAGTGAAGCAGCAGCATCTCCTTCATGTTTCTTTGGATCAGTCGTTGTCAGACTCTGCTTTACACCTGTCAATCAATCTCATCCAGGTATGTTACACCTGTGTTGGAAAAGTCATGTGACCGGGCCCCGCCCCCCTAGAACATGTCTCCCACCAGCCACCAATCCAGTTTATATATATATATAATATATATTCAGAGGATGGTGATTAAAATGAAGATTGTCCACAGTGACGTCTGTGCTTTATCTCTATGCTGGTTGCTGTCTTTTATTATATTTTTTATTTTTACGTTTGAGTGCCTTTCTAGCTTTCTTGAAAACAAGGCAGAAAACTCTGAAACATCCCAAATTTATCTTGACAAGTCTGAATGCTTTCCACCTGCCCCTGGGTGGCAATGGACAAGCTAGCTATTTCCAAATAAACACAACGAGAAGAAAGATTCATACACATACACACACACACACACACACCTACCACCCTCTTACATCATCTCACCTGTAGTGTTACAGCTGTAGTGTGTTGGGTTAAAGATTAGCTTCAGCGAGTCCTGATTATATCAAGCTCACCTGCCAATATCATCACCACAGTCATAGTGGAAGCGTCTGTGATAAGAGGCAGATTCATTGAGGTGGAGGTGAAGGTCAGGCAACATGGTGAAGATGAGAAGAAACTCAGTTTTAGTCAACCCTTAGTCAGACTGTGGGGATTTTATTCTCTTTAGGGAAATATTTAAGCAACATTGTGTTTGACCTTTGGCATTAGAAACATTTTTAGATCATTCCTTTGCTGCAAAAACTTTAAATACCCAACTGCCAAATTACAAATATACCTTTGACCTTAAACCTTTGTGTTTCTCCAGAGATATAAAAGACGTCACACTCACATCAGATAAAGGCAAATAATAACATTTATTTATTATTAACTTTGAGCACTAAAGATCCATATCCAGATTAAGGTCAAAGGTTTCACATGAAACATATTATCAACCAAACCGATCAATGCTATCTAAATTAATTACAACAAATACAGTAACACTGGGGGATAAAAGGTTCAGTAAAACAAAATTAAAGGCAATGTTTTATTCACATATATGCTTGAATAGTTATGTTTAACTCCCTCTGCAAACACAGATATAGGTATAACAGGACCGACTGGTTGTGCTATTCAAAAGTGTTCACAGGGTTTATTGAGTTATGGCACGGCACTTTCTTTCTCTTCAGAACCATGATCTTACCCAATCAACTACGGCTTGCAGATATTGCCTTAGGGAAAAAAAACAAACATGAGCTTTAAACGGCCACATCAGCACTGAGATAGATGGCCAGATAAGAGGGTGTGTGCTTTAAAAGAGTGAGACGCTCCCTGCTGCAGAGTTCTCCACCTCACCCTCACAGCCATGGCATTCGACGGCTCCTGGAAAATTGATCGCAGCGACAACTATGACAAGTTCATGGAACAAATGGGTGAGTGATGTCACAAACCACTGATAATCTGCTGCAGTCACATGTGTTTTGTTTTTTTAAATAGCTGGTTCTTACATTTCTTTGTTTAGTCCTTGTGTAAATAACTTGACAAAAACCTGATTTAGCACTGAGCACAAGTGCAGCTCCACTGGTTCTGAGTCAACTTAATTTATGCAGCAAACTGATAATCATGCTTTTTTATTTGCTGAAATGTTTAATGTGTGCATTGCATTCATAATTTCAGTTATAGATTAATATCCCAACACCCAAAACAAATACTGGAGCTAATGGGTCTTTGTGGCACAATGACAAGCTTTGGCTTTTCTACCTCCTCACCCTCAACAAATACACAAACCTAGGAACTATACCTCTGTGCACATAAAGTGATGAAATCCTGACAAACTTCCTCTGATGGTTCACAATGTATTGAACATAATTCATTTTGTTCCATCGACAGGCGTTAACTTGGTGAAGAGGAAGCTGGCCGCTCACGACAACCTCAAGATCAACATCCAACAGACCGGGGACAAGTTTCATGTCAAGGAGAGCAGCAATTTCCGCACCTTGGAGATAGACTTCACCTTGGGAGTGACATTCGAGTACAGCCTTGCAGATGGAACTGAACTATCAGTAAGTAAATCTGGTATCTAGTGTTTATTTGTTCGCAGGATTACGTGAAAAACGAATCCACTGATTTCCGCCAACACATGGAGGAGAGATGGAGCCTGGACCTGGGAAGCTTTCATGCAGATTACACTTTCTGTAACATTGCAACTTGATTTTCAAATGTTCAGGACAGTGTTTAATGACAAATAAATCACCTCGGCTATCAATCCAATTCTTTTCCTCTATAAGACCGAGACAACCATGTGTATTCGGGCCTTGACTGAGTGCCATTGTTTGAATACTGTCTTTCCTCTAAATACATTGCATATTGCATATTTCACTTTGACTTCGGAGCTTAGAGCTGGAATAAAGGTTTCATTGCACTATATGTCCTGACTGAGCTTCATGTTTCACCCTGCAGGGCTCGTGGACCATGGAGGGGGACACGCTGAAGGGGATTTTCAACAGGAAGGACAACGGAAAACAGCTGACAACGACCAGGATTGTCCAAGGAGATGAACTCATACAGGTGGGATGAATCACGTATGCTGGGATAAGGTTTAGTTGGGATAAAGATTTCTTATTCCAGCTGTAACTCTGACTTACAAGATGCTGTAATATGCTTTATGTAGTATCTTGAATATAGAGAACATCAAATGAGGTAAACGTATAAATTATGAAATACATAACAACTGTACATTACGTCATTTTCTTCCCACAGAGCTACAACTACGAAGGTGTGGACGCAAAGAGGATTTTCAAGAGGGGTTAGAAGAGAAATCTTTGCCTTCACGGATACAATCAGTATTGTGTTGAATTACGAATTACTTTCTCCAACATGACATAAAATGCACTATACTTAATCTGCCTGTATAGAAAATGACAGTTTTGAATTGCACCATATTTTGATACTCGCAGTAATAAAGCTCTTCTATATCTGCCTGTTTTCCCCTTTTTTTCCCTTTGTGGTTGTCAATCTGAGAATCATCGCAGGAGGAGGATTGTGTGAATTTGAAGGAGACACATGAAAACGAGTTTAGAGTGGTACAATAATTTAAACTTTATTCAACAATGAATAAAAATAAATATATATTATCTACAAAAATATAAAGTGTAGACAGATTTTACACGTGTCTTTTAAATTGGTCTAAACTTCCCGCGAGTAGTCAAGTCATTCACTGAAGCACCGACGACGTCAGGCCGGACTCTAACCACACACACGGGTACAACAGGTGTTTATGAGTGTTGTACAGTGGAATTAGACTCTTACCCCGTATATTTAGCGCAAGATAAAAGATGTGGTTTTGATGCAATACCAACTGTGATGTAGGGTGACACAGGTTGAAAAGACCTGTTGAAAAATGAGCCTATATAGAATACTGTAAATAAAGCCTTTAGCTGTAGATTGTGGGTGCAAGAAGAAAAACCAATAATCAACGTAATAATGTCCTAGCGCACACACCCTGTACATAAAATAATCCAAATCAAACACTGGAAAAAACATCTTTTTGTATGATAAGGCTCCTTCAGACTTAAAAGCAGCAAGAATGAGCTGGGATGCACACGCTTCTCTCTGCTGTCGACATACGAACACATTCAAACTTGCCAACTGCTGCTGCATGAGGAGCAAACGGCTGAGTTTGCTGCCTCCAAGTCTGAAAGGGTCTATAGGAGAGTTAGACCTGGCACAAAACCACCCTTCAAACACTCCCTCACACAGAGCGACGGTGCACACAGAGAAGTGTCACCAGATATGTCACTAATGGCATTGCATATTCAAAAGTTTTCACATGACATCCTGCATCACTTTCAATCATCTCCTTCGTTCTGTAAGTGTGGTTTCACTCACACACGTATGCAAGCACACACAAAAAATGTCAAGGCACTCTTGATACAACTGAAGACACAAAGTTCAGAGTGTGAAATAAAACTTGAGTGAATACAACAAAAGAAAATCTCTTTTTTTCTTTACAGAAAATAAAATTAGATAACAAGAAAAATACTGTAAATAAATGACACATAACAAACCAACGGAAAACACTTTGCAGGTGAGACAACATTGAGAAAACCTGGTTAATATATTCAACTCAGCTTCAGCTTGTCCAGTAATTTAACAATTTTTATGTCATTATCTCGAGAACAGATAAGATATCTTAAAGTGAACAGTAAAAATAAAATAGAATTATAATCACTACAGCACAATCAAATCATTTAAAGGCATGTGTCACTGCATATAGTTGAATTCAAATTAATCAAAAACATTTTTCAAATTGCTGACTTACATTTTATGCCTTTTTTTTCTTAGATTTAAATATCAATAAATATAAAATGAAAAACGCAAGATGCTCACATTTAGTTTAGGTTTGATTATTATCCCCAATGTTGGACATAAACATGAAATATAGTGACTCAGTATGTGAAGCTGAGAAATATTATTGAGAGACAACAAAGCAAATAAAATAAATGAAACAAAACACGTGTGTATAAATGGCAGGAAAAGACTTTAGTGAAGCACGGAAGAAAGTGAGAAAATATCTGAAAATTGAAAACACTGATTTTCTTTATGCGTGTTCTCAGGAATGTCTGATGGACACAATACAAAGCTTAAAAAAACACTGAAATGTGCCGTTAAAATAATCTCAAAGTAACCGTCAGTGGATGCATAGTTTGTCTCGGACAGTCGTGTTGTTTGTATTTACAATGGATGCATAAACAACTGACTATTCAAGCATTGAAATGTTTCCAAATCAACTGCAGTTACAAAATGACATTTAATGAATTTACTTTATTACAATTAAGTAAAATCAAATAGAATTTCTGTTCGTTGGACTCAGTCCAGTATTTTCATGCTCATGCTCAAGCTGTACACGCAGCTATTAAGACTTCTGTAAAGGCCACATGCAGGTTTCTGAACATTAATCCTATTGACAAGAATATTTGTTGTACGCTCAATAATAATTATAATAATAATAATATCGGATAGGCAAATTACCTATATTGGCATCTTTATGAAAATACCTGCAATTACAGACCTGTTTAAATCTTTCTACTTGAACAGGAAGACTGAGAAAATACAATTTGACATCACTGTGAGTTTTAAAAGAAAGGATTAGAAGGACCGAGGTTCGACTACACAAGTTTACATGATGGTATTTAGTGACGAATAACCTGAGGGCTGTCTCTGAAAGTTCTCTACATATTTATGAGCGATTGGATCAAATCAACTGATGATTTTTGTTTCCCAAAGAAATGAACAAATCACTTGAAGAAAAGAATTAAACAGAATCTTTCTCCACAGATTTTTTTTTTACAGCCGAGGACTGTTAGGGGTTCGCCCGTCAGTCATTCATTGACACGTCAATGTTGTGAAAGAGCTGATAACTGATAACAGATGAAACAAATCACTAACTGAATACAACTAGTGTTGCAAGGTCTGTTCCCTGGTGACCCAAAGCCCTCAATGTTCATAAAGTCATTGAGTCTCAGTTTTGTTAATTCAGCTTCCTTTAGTGAGATTACGTCCAGCCATCGACTGTAAAGATGGACGACATGACGTCTCGGTCATAAAACCTCCCTCCTCCATGTTAGTGGATGGGACATGGACCAAAGTAGAGTGTGGAAGTGCGACCCGAGCACGTCAAGACTGATTTTTTACACACTGCACTTCTTTATCATTGAGTAAAACAGTAATAACCATGTGTGAGGGGGAGGGAGCTTTAGTGCAGCACATATCAGCTGCATCAGGACAGACTCAAAGTCTGGGTCAAAGTTGAGCTCGGTTAGATTTCTCTCGGGCTCAGACGGGATCAGACAGAAAAATGTTATTTGAGTTAAACTCAAATAATTTTTTTCATAATTTTAGGTAGTTGTTGTTATCACACTGATGTTTGTTCAAATGTTTTTTAAATAGTAATTTGAAGCTACACAATGGGGGTGAAATGAAATGATTGACAGCTGAGACTGACTCAGGATTGGTCAAATGCATGAATCGACGAGATCTCGACGCTGCAGTCCCTTCCCCATCACTACTGTGAAGATGAGGAAGATGTTGCAATTCGTATCCAGGATATTTTAGCTTCATATCTGGATAGTGGAAGGGGAGACGTGTCCTCCATCTTTTTAAACTGTCTATATTTCCAATGCACAGCTGAAGATTCACAACTCGACCTGTAGGTTTTATTTTGTTGTGTAGAATGACATCATATTCTGATCATGTAAATTCAACAAACCATTTCATGTCATCGTGCTGTGATACGTTATCACACCTCACACCACAGTACAATCAATCTAACGGTAGCTCACCATCATCTTCCATGCCTGACTTCACATACACTGTATCAGTACATGCAGTTCTGCAGCACTTTTGCAGAACTGCTGTACAAATAAAGAAATAAACATTTTAAACTTGAGATAAAGTGACCTAAAGACTTGTGCAAACTGGAAACAGTCTAGATTTTGGTAAAAAACAAAATCTTCGTGCAGCAATGCTGCAGGATAATGGAAGACAATAAATGTGATAGTTAATAATCCATCAAACAGTATTTAGAAATCTGTCTTCAGTGACAAGCTTGCATAAATAAATTCCACTCAGTTTGGAGATGTCACACTTCAGAACATCTTTCCATTCTCTAAGCTCTTTGGCATCCAGTTAATTCTCAACTGACCACAGTCCATCTTTGTAAACAAAACTTACCGAGTTAACACTCATAAAAAACCACGATCGTCCAGTCCTTTGGCCGTCACCGGGTTCCATTTTGCAGTGGGTTTATTGCTATTATGGCCTGTAAAGAAGATGTAAAGATGTTTTGTAGAAGTTTCACACCACAACGGAGAAGACAACTGATAGTCACTTTGTATCCGTCAACATCTTTAAGTAAATGTGGGTGATATAAACAAAGCCTTCCATCGGGGTAATATACAGTTTTATATTGTGATATAAATGAGTAAAGTCTTAAGAAATAAAGTGGAAGCTATTTATGGATTCAAAAGAGTTAACACATATTTTAAAAATCAAGTGGTTTTAATTACATTGTTGCCGATATCTTATAAAAGTCCCTGATGGCCTAAAATAAACAAGAGATATTAAAGCAACACTGTATAACTTTACCAAACAACAGCGCCCTCTACAGCCACATGTGGAGATTCATTCTGTTGGGATATTATGGTCCTCGGCTTCCTGAACCACGTAGCATCGTGTTGCTCTAAAGTAATCGCTGCTACAGTATAAACAGAAAATCCCTGATGTCTGATTTTAAAACATCTCACAGTGTATGTCAATATTACACAGAGGAAGGCTTACTTGTTTCAGGTCTGGTTTTTGGCACATCTTGTGAGTGTGTGTCGGTGGGGAGTGTGTGGCTGGTATCTCTGCGTTCCGTCGCGACCACTGTCCGCGGCACCGTGGCTGAGAGGACAAGAGGCCTCTGGTTGTGGTACTTGAGACGGTATGTTTCTGTCATACAGTTATCCACAGTGAAGTATGTTGTCAGAGAAACCTCTTGAGCCGGCGCTGCCTGCTCCGCTCTACATCCACCGAGTCTTTCCTCGCTGTCACATGACGACGGAGTGCTCCTCTCCGGGTCAGAGCCCGACTTGGAGCTTGCATCTGAGAAGGTTCGGAGGCCGGACATGTCGGGCTTCCTGAGAGGACTGACGTAGGACGTGGAGGAAAGACGAGGACTCTGCGGGAAGGGTTCTTGGAGCATCCTCGGGCGGAACACCGCGTGGCTGGATTCCACCTGGTGAGGAGACATCCGCTGGGAGGGTCGGAGGTGAGGCGACCCCGTGGTGCTGAGCTGACGCTGATTGTTCAGGGGCTCTGCGTTCACATTGCAGGGAGGCTGGTATGGCAGCGTTATGTGAGGACACTGGGGATCGGAGGCAGCGGCCTCGCTGTTGCTGGAGCGATAAGTACTTTCTCTGTCCTCGGACTCCGAGAGAGCGAGATCATCGGAGCTGTTCCACTCTGAGCTGCTGGTTTTGGTGATGTGCCTCAGGGCTGTACTTTCTCTACAGTTTGTCAGCTCCTGCTGATCACTCGACCTGCTCTCACAACCAGCGGAGTCCCGCTCTGAACACACAACTTTCCTGGAGGTGCCGGACGTGTACTTTGATTTCCTTCTGTGGAGAAAAGTGTTTATATCATAGAATGATGGAGTATTATTGAAATACTTGAATACAATGTTCAGGATTTTTTCTTGACTCTACGTGTTTTGACAATCGCTACATAATTTAAAAATAAAGGACACTACCTTGAACTCGGACTGCTCTTCAGATGTGAATGTGAAACTTGGTCATGGTTCTTTCCCTGAGGTTTGGCATGATGTTTACCTGTAAGATTTCAAATAAAGATTTCAAAACATAGTGTGAAAAAGGAGACAATATAATAATCTGTGAATGAAAAAGCAGTACAGCAGTCCTGTTGTGTGGCATTCACTTTTTATATTCTGTAATTACTGGAAACATTCACAT